TGGGTTCCTTCGAACCCACCCAGGCGCTGGGTTCCTTGGGTTGCCTGGGTTCGCAAGGAACCGAACCCAGCACGCAAGCCTGCTAGGATCGAAGCCTGGGTTCGCAAGGAACCCAAGCGTGCTGGGTTCGGTGTGAACCCAAGCAAGCTTGCTGGGTTCTTCAATCTGTTGGGTTCGATTCCCAGCAATCTGTTGGGTTCTCGAGAACCCAGCGATTTGCTAGATTTGATTTTAAAAAATATATATTTATGTTTAGAAGCTTGAATTTTAGGGATATTTTTGGGTTGCAGCTGATTATTTTGCTAGTGAATATTTTGTTTGTGTGGGCTGTTCTCATTGAGAATTTGGCAAAAATTGATTGAGGGAAAAAATTTGCCCATATGGCTGCTTATGATTATCGAACCCAGCCGATCGCTGGGTTCTTGAGAACCCAACAGATCACTGGGTTCAATCAAGAACCTAGCCATCTGCTAGGTTCTCAAGAACCCAGCGATCTTCTGGGTTTGATTTCTTCTTTTTTTTTTTTTTTTTTTTTTTTTTTGATAAGGGTAATGGTTAGAAAGTTAGTGTGAGTTAATTGTTAGCAACTAGTCCTCAGACCGGGTGAACATTCCACCCCCTCAAATGAGGCGCACGGCCATCAGACCGCTTTTTGATGGAGTTCACGACGGTGGTGGAATTCGAAACTCCGACCACCTCACCCAAGCACTTACGACTTGGGGTCGAACCATTGAGCCACAAATCAATGGATAAAAAATTCATCTCAATATTGGGGAAGATGGCGGGGATCTTCTGACTTTCCTAAGTTTCGTGTATAGCAGGAATCGATGAAACTTATTGAAATGAATTTGAGAAATTGTGTAGAATTCTAATAATGGACACATCATTAAATCTTTGCAACTATGGACAAATTGGATGGAGGGGACAGCTCTAAATTTAATAGATCCCATTATCAGGGATGGTTCCAGTGGTAAAATGATGAAATGTAACCAAATAGGCCTACTATGTGTTCAGGAAAATGTTGCTAGAAAACCAATCATGACTTTTGTTGTTTTGATGCTTGGTAGCAGCCCTGGATGATCTCTTCCATTGCCATCAAAAGCAGCATATTATATGTTAAGAAACCAAGGATTTCAAAGAAGAAGAAAATGCAATGAAAATCAAACTCACATTAAAATGAGAATAAACTAGCTTTTAAATAGGTTTTATAAGATAATTTTATCTAAAAAAATAACTAACAAATAATCTCAACTTATTTAATCTATTTTAAATGATAATAACCTAAATAATAGGAAAAACAAATAAACAACTTAAACTTCCTAAATTATAGAGATAATGGCCAAAAACTAGAATCTACTTTTCAACAATCCCTCCTTTAAACTGAAAGTCTTCAGACTTCAATTTAGAGAAATCTGAAAAATATCTGTAATTTGGAATCTGCAGATCCTCCTTCAAACTAAATTCTACATGCTGCAAACACCAAGAAACTCTCTTAGTCTTGAAAAAGTTGCTAATTTGAGGGGTTTTGTGAATATATTAGCCACTTGATCTTCTGTTCTGCAATAAGTTAATTCAATTGTTCCATCTTCTACCAAGTTGCACAAGAAATGATACCTCACATGTATATGCTTGCTTCTCCCATGCAAAACTAGATTTCTAGAAAGCTTGATAGCTAAACTGTTATCACAATAAATTGAAGTGACCTCATGTTGATTCATCTCAAGTTCTTCCAAAACTCTTCTCAACCAAATAGCTTGACAAGTACATGAAGTTGTTGCCACATACTATGTTTCTATTGTAAACAAAGTCACAATGGGTTGCTTCTTTAAAGACCATGAAACTACACCAAATCCCAACATAAAAACATACCTAGAAGTGCTTTATTTTGTCATTTAGATCTCTAGCATAATCATTGTCTATAAAGCCTACACGATCTATCTAGTCACCTTTCTTGTAAAATAGTCCAAAATCTACAGTTCTACGTAAATACCTAAGAATTCTTTTAGCAATCTCTAAGAATTCTTTTAGCTATCTTCAAGTGTAACTCCTTTGGATGCTCCATATATCTACTAATCAGACTTGCACCATGCATTATATCTGGTCTTGTTGCTGTCAAATACATCAGACTTCCAACAATCTGCTTATATAGTTTGCTGTCCACAAATCTGCTACTTGGATCTTTCATGAGCTTTACACTTTTGTCAACTAGTGTAGTGATAGAATTGCAATTCTTCATTTGAAATATATCCAAAACTTCCTGCACATATTTTTTCTAATAAACAAAAATTCTAGAATCTGACTATACTACTTCCAAACTAAGAAAATAATGCAACAAACCCATATCTGTCATATCAAATTCAAGCTTCATGGATTGCTTAAACTTTTCCAACATGCTAAGATCATTCCCATTATAAATTAAATCATCAATATCTAAGCATACTATATAATTAATTTACCTCCATCTCCAAATTTGATGTAACGTGTATGCTTATAAGGGCACTTTTGAAAACCTTCCTTAAAAAAATAAGCATCAATTCGACTATATCAAACTTTAGGTCCTTGTTTTAGTCTATATAATGCTTTCTTTAATCTATAAACCTTATGCTCAAAACTAGGTTTCACATAACCAGGAGGTTGATTGATAAGGTTACTGTAGATCTCCATGCAAGAAGGCTGATTTTGCATCAAACTGGTAGATCGACCATGAGTTCTGTGTTACTAATGCAATCACTAATCTGATGGTGTCCATCCTTGCAATTAGAGCAAAAAATTCTTAATAATCAATGTCAAACTCCTGCTTGTAACCTTTTGCCACCAATCAAGCTTTGAATTTGTCAACCTCTCCATCTTCATTGAGTTTTGTCTTATAGATCCACTAAACACCAATTGTCTTGTGCCCTTTTGGAAGATCTGTCAACTCCCAAGTCCGGTTCCTTTCAATAGAACCAATTCCTTCTACCATGGCTTTTTCCCACTTTTCTTCTTTGATAGCCTCTCCATATGTTAATGGATCACAATCTCCAAATAGAGCAAAATGAGTAATTAAAGCACCATCTTGAGGAAGATTTGTTACCTCATAATCCTCCAACCATGCTGGTCTTCTTTTTTGCATTGAGGTCGTGAACTAATGCCAGATTCCAATTCTAGTGTTGTTGGCAGACTTTCTCTAGTATTGAGCTCTACTGTTGGAGGCAAACTTTCCTCATCTACCTTTCTTGAAGCCTCGAGGTTTGTTGAAGTTAGACCTCCATTTTGCTCCGTCTAACCTCATATGTTCTACATAGTTAGATATTCTCCATTTTTGAAATCTGTAGGAATCTGTCACCCATATTTTTTTGTTCAAAACCAGGTGCTTGCTTCATCAAACAATGCATCACGGCTAATGATCACCTTCTTGGTTATAATATTGTATAATCTGTAAGCTTTGGATTGATCACTAACACCCAAAAAAAAAAAAAAAACATTTTTCCCTTTTTTCATTAAGCTTACTCCTTTTTTGATCTAGCATATGTGCATATGTTATGCACCCAAAAATTCTAAAGTAGGCAATAGTAGGTCTACGTCCACTCCAAGCCTCTTCTTGCATCATATTTGGAAGTGGAGATGTAGGACTTCTGTTCAAGATATGAACACCCCAATTAATAGCTTTTGGCTAAAACTCCTTAAGCAAGCCACTCTTTGACAATAGGCTTCGCACCATATTCATGATTGTGCGATTCCTCCTCTCACATACACCATTCTGTTGAGGTGTATATACTGTTGTGAGTTGCCTTTTAATACCGTTGGATTCACAAAAATATGCAAACTCATGTGAGTTAAACTCACCACCATGGTCTATGCATAGAACCTTAACCAATCTACGAGCCTCATTCTCAGCGAAGACTTCAAAATTTTTAAAGGCTACTAAGGCTTCTGACTTGGTCTGCAAAAAATACACCCATGTTTTGTGATTGTAATCATCAACAAAGGTAATAAAGTATTGTTTACCTCAATTAGATGTTGGGTCTATGGGTCAACACAGATCAGAATGAACAAGATCTAGCACCCATGTTACTCTCCAAGATCTGTCTTTAGGAAAGTTGTTATGGTGTTATTTATGGCAATGTAGATTTCACAAATTTCTAAAGGAGAATCAAAATGAGGAAGACCATTTACCATCTTCTTCTACTACAAGGCCTTCAACCCACCAAAATATAGATGTCCATATTGGCAATGCCATAACCAAGCTGTGTCCTTCAATTTGGTAGATAAACATGACAAATTTATGGTCTGCAAGTACAATGGAAACAACCTATTTCTCATCATCTTGACCTTTGCAATCAAGCCAAGCTTTGAATCATGAACTTGGCAAACTCCATCTTTAATTAGGATTTCATATCCTTTCTCTTGAAGCTGTCCTAAACTAAGCCAATTTGACTTCAAATCTAGTACATATAGAACATTGGCAATATTTTGACCTAAATTGTTTTTGGCACGAATGGTTACCT